CGTTATTTTGGTTATTAATATCTTGTTATTAATTTTACTATTATCTTCATTATTATCACTGTTATTATCCTTCCCTCATTTACCTTTCCCTTGCCTTTTCTCTTTCTCCCTTCCTTCTTATCATCCCCCTTCCTCACCCCCACTCCCATCCCTCTTCTTATCCCCATTCTCGCTTCTATTCCAGGCACCGACCTTCCCTTCGGCGGCGTTGGCAACAGTGGCATGGGCGCCTACCACGGCAAATACACGTTCGATACCTTCACACACAGGAAGTCGTGTCTGAAAAGAAGTTACAATTCGTTTATTGATAAGGCCATGCAGTAAGTGTCGGGGAGGGGGAGGGGGAGGGAGGGAGAGGAAGGGGGTAGGGTGATAGGGAGGGAAGGGGAGGGGGAGGGTAAGGGGTGGGTGAGGGGGAGAGAGGGAGGAAGAAGGGGCTAGGGTGATACGGAGGAGGGTGGGTAGGGTGAGGGTAGGGGTAAAGGGGCGGGTGAGGGGGAGGAGAGAGAGAGAGAGAGAGAGAGAGAGAGAGAGAGAGAGAGAGAGAGAGAGAGAGAGAGAGAGAGAGAGAGAGAGAGGAGAGAGAAGGAGAGAGGTAATAAGTGAGAGTAAGAGAGTGGCGCGTGTGATGGCCGGTTTGTTAAAATTGAGACCCGACCTAATGAACATTCCATTTACGGACGCATAAACATATAAATGCAGATCATAAATGCACACACTGATATAAAAGATTTCTTTCTTTAACAAACCGGGTATAAAAGAGGACGCAAAGTATAAAAAAAAAAAAAAAATTACAGATCATACACGTACATGCACATACACAAACAATCCAACACAGCCCGAAAAACACGACACAGGCAAAACCACGCACACGAACGCCAACAAAAATATCCCAAAGACGACCCCGTCCCTAAAGCTCACTTTCCCCTTTCACAGGTTTAGATTCCCGCCCTACACAGAAAAGGGCATTGAGACGCTGAGTTCCCTGCGAGACAAAGGCGATGGTCCCGGACTTCTGTATTACCTCAGGATCACCGTGACCCATTTATTCAGCATGGGTTTAGGGGCGCTGATACTGTATCTTGTGCTCCATTATGCTAACGTGAGGGTCTGAGACTGGAGAACACATATGTATGTGAGTGGGGGTTCTTGCGTGTGTGTGTGTGTGTGTGTGTGTGTGTGTGTGTGTGTGTGTGTGTGTGTGTGTGTGTGTGTGTGTGTGTGTGTGTGTGTGTGTGTGTGTGTGTGTGTGTGTGTGTGCATATAAAAAATCAGACCTTTCAAGAAAAAATAAATATATATATATATGGCCTTTTTTTTATCAAAATTACGGTATTTTGGGTTTTAAAGGTATCCAGGGAAAATATAACCCTTTCAAAATTGTGTAGATACCTCGGCGATATTTTTTTTTTTTTTTTTTTTTTTTTTGCGTGTGGGTCACAGAAGAGAAAGAGAAAGTGAGAAAAGGCGAAGCGTAGACAGAGGTACCTGTAGAAGTGGCTAACGTCTACCAAGCGTATAACGAAGAGGATGTTCCAAGACAAGGTGTTGGCATCAACGAGCACAGAGAAACGTTCAAACAGAAGCAATTAAGATGATTTTACTGGACTGCGACACCGACCGTGTCAACCATTGAAGATTCACTAGAGGAACGAATGATGTCTTTGGAAGCTCGATAAGGGCAACGAGAAACGAAACGTTTAACATGCTTTCATTGAGCATTTATTGTATTACATAAGGGTGGACATGGGCGAGCGAGCGAATCGAGCAAGCGCCGCAGGCCAAGCAACCTGGTGTAGCCAGGTCCGGCGCAGGTGTTCATGTAGAAAAATGAAAATTATAAAAAAAAATAAATTATTACGGTATTTTGGGGACACCCCTATAAAGGTATTTACAAAATGGGTCAATGGCCTCGGCGGTGACGGTTTTTATGCGAATACAGACAATATATCCGTCTGTCTGCGTGTGGGTGTTCTGTAGATATGCACATTTTTGGTTTCTAAAGGGTGCACTTATCCCATAATTTGAAATGTGTCTGATACATAACGAAATAGGCTCCAGCTATTGTGAACGTGTAAGAATGTGCAAATAAGTAATTATTAATTATATATCGACTGCCACGAACCTCGTCCTTAAAAGTAGAGATAAGACGTAAAACGTTTTGCTATCGCGTTTTTTTCCGGTTTCATAAATTAGATTTGCTTAGGCTGTTAGGTTGGTTAAACTAGGATTAATGGTATTATAAAATGAGCCATAACGATAGTAATAATAATAATGCAGAATAGTACACGAGCCATGTTAGGTTGNCTTTACCTCCCTATCAGTTCCACGCCATTTTCCATTTTCCTTTCCCACATTCTCCTCCCCCCTCCCCCCCCCGTCGAAAAAAAAAAAGCCAATTGCTCTCTCGTTTGCTAAGCCTCCTTACGCTTAAAGATCAAAACCTAGCAAGAGTCATAGTGGGGGATAAGCCAGGAAGTAACTCCTCTTTTCCAGTTCTTTCTTGTGCCCACCCCATCCTCTCGGGAAAGCCCTGGTGTGACGTGGGGTCGTGGATCTTTTCCTCTTTCCTCTAATCTTTCTCTCCTCTTTCCTCTCTTTTCTCTCTGTGTGTCTCTTCCCCTCTTATATCTCTCTTCCCTCTTTCTCTGTGTCCCTGTTCCCCTCTTTCCTCTTATTCTCTCCTTCTCTCTTGAGTAAAGACCCGATAAATTGTGTGTTCTCTTTCCCCCCTCTTTATTCTCTTCTTTCCTCTGTATGGTCGCTTCTCGCCTCTATTTCCCATTCTTATTCTCTCTGGTTGTCTCCTTTTCCTCCGTCTGTCGGTTAAGTTTGTCCTGTTGGTTTTTCGTCTTTTCCTGGTCTGCCTCTCCCTCTGTCTTCAGACTAGGAAAAGGTTTTTTGCATTCTCTCGTTCAGGGTATTGTCCTGTTTTCTGTCCTGTCTCGTTTCCTAGATGCTCCTCTCTTCTATCTAATCTATCATCTATTCTATTAATTATTCTTTTGATCTAATCTGTCTCTTATCTCTGTTTATTCTATTTTCCTCCTCCTCTTACATCTTCCCTCCTTTCCCCTCCCCTTTCCCCTCCTTCTCTTCCCCCTATTCGGCAATAAATCTATAGATCTATCCGACCCCCTCCCATCATCCTCCACCTCCTCCTCCCCTTCCCACCCCTCCTTCCCCGCCCCCTTCTTCCCCTTACACGCCCGCCCCTTCCCCTCCCTCCCCTCACCATACCCCTCGACGTTCTTCTTCTTCGTCTTCTTCTTCTTCTTCTTTCTTCTTCTTTCCTCCTCCTCCTCCTCCTCCTCCTCCTCCTCCTCCCTCCTCCTCATCCTCCACCCAACCTCTACCCCATCCCCCCCACTTGGTCCTCCTACCATCCTCCCGTCCTCCTCCTTCCCCTCTCCTTCCTCTCTCCCTCCACTCCACCCTTCACCCTCCATTACCACCTCCCCCTCTCCCTCTTCCCCTTCCCCCCACCCCCTCTCCCCCTCTACCCCCACCACAGAGAAATCCTAAGCCTAAATCCTTAAATCCTTAAATCCTATTCCTAGAACTTTCCTTCCGCCAATTCTCCTTTATTTCCCTTTCTTAGTAACATTGACTTTGTGAAAATAATGTGAATAATCTTCTCTCTTTTGTTTCTTGTTTCTTTGTCTGTTCATTCTTCTTCTTTTTATTTGTTTATTATTATCTTTATCATTATCATTGTTATGATTGTTATTATCATCATTATCGTCATCACTTATTATTATCATTATTATTTGCTATTATTTATTTGAGCGTTATTGTCATCACTCAATTATCATTATTATTATTTTCATTATTATAATTATTTTGCTGTTTTTGTTATTAAGTTATCATGAATTAGATTATTCAATATCATTACTATTGTTATTTAGTATCATTATCATTATCATTATTATCATTATTTAGGTCATATTAGACTCATTATCATCATCATCATTGGTAATATAATTGTTATTATTACAGTTGTTGCTTTTATCCATCATATACATTAATGTCCCGCACTTCCCTCTTTCTCTCCGTTTTTTATTATTTCCTTCTTTTCTTCCCTTCCCCCCCTCCCCTCAGCACCCCCCCCCTCTTCCCCTCCCCCCCCCCGCTCTCCGCCAAACACCCATTCCTTTCCCCTTCCCCCCTCCTCCCCTCCTCCCGCACTCAGTTCCCCTCCTCATTCTCATACTTCGCCCACTTCCATCCCCTTTGCTTCCCCCCACCACCTTCCCTCCTTTCCCCCCACCCCCTTCCCTCCGCTTACTTCCAACTATCCCTTTCCCTCCGCCCCCCTGCTTTCCTTTACCTTTCACTCCTTTCTTTCCCTTCCCTCCGCCTTCAACTATCCCTTCTCCTCCGCCACCTCCCTACCCTTTCTCCCCTTTCCCCCACCCCCTTCCCTCCATTCCCTCCACCCCCTTGCCCTCCATTCCCCCACCCCCTTTCCCTCCGCCCACCCCTTTCCCTTCCTTCTCCTCCTTCTCCTACCCCTTCACTTCCTTCACCTTCCCTCCTCACTCCCCGTTCTCCACCCTCCTCCCTTCCAACCCCCCGCCCCCCCGCCCTACTCCCCCTCCTCCCCGCCCCCTCCCCCCCCCCCCGCCCCCCCCCCCCCCCCGCCCACAGCCACCTTAAAGACATAATTAATCAGCCATCCGGCCTTCACCCCTTAAGACTCCTCTTGAGATAATTAAATCACTCTCACCTCTCTCTCTTCTCTCTCTCTCTCTCTTCCTCCTCTTTCTCGCTCTGTGGTTATTCTTCTTCGCTCGCTTCTTTCTCTCTCCTCTCTCTCTCTTCTCTTCTCTCTCTTCTCTCTCTTTCTCTCTTCTCTCTCTTCTCTCTCATTCCTTCTTCCGCTCGTTCTTTTCTCTCTCTCTCTCTCTCTCTCTCTCTCTCTCTCTCTCTCTTCTCTCTTCCTCTCTCTCTCGCTCTCTTCTCTCTCTTTCTCGCTCTTCTCTCTCTCTCTCGCTCCT